CGAACTTAATCTTTTTTCTCTAGATGGAACTATATATCCACCTTTCCTAACCAGATCTTCGCGACTACCTGTCTACGCAATGGATCTCTGCCGGTAATCATACTGTTATTGCGTGACGTCTGCAGTTTGCCAGTCATATTTCTGTCGTATCGGAATGTCGACTTGCTTGCGTGTGTAGTATGAATTATGATTATAATCCGGAGCGAAACCAAGACATTCGCATAGCCTTAATAATCATAGAGAAAGCTTATGACAGGATACAAATGGTGACAATCCTTTAATGATAGACGTCCTTTTATGCGGCAGTCTATTTGAAAATTGCGGAAATCTATGGAATGACATTGCCTAACAAGTATGTTATTTACAGAATCTATGATGTTTCGGATTGTACTTAGTATGTCTTTGAAATAACAAGGTTTAGTACATAATTGAGAAGTGCATTCGTATAGAATAAATGCAAGAATACGGTAAATGATACAGCCAGGTGATAAGCTGATTTCGGGTCCGTATTGCTGTGGGTCAGATATCGCAGTGCAATTCAATCAATTAAAGACGAAAATACTGCTATCAGATGCCCAGTGGAAGGCGTAGCTAATATGAAATTGCAAAAAAACGAAGAAATCGACGAATGTTTTTACGTGTGCCATGAGATCAACATGCGGTATCATCAGACTAGGCAGATTCTACGTAGAAGGAGAACTAGTTGGTGCACATTCTGTTCCATCAAGGACGTTTTCCTCGGCCACATCAGGAAAGAAACGCGCATCCGATTCTTAAGGTCTACCGTCTTGTTGGCAATTTTGAATGACTGTCACAAGTGGTCACTGGCTAAAGTCAAAAAGGCCAGCCATCAGTCACCGAGTTATGGGAAGGAAAAACTGACGAATGTCACATCGCGATCACATTCACAACTCGGCAATCAGGCACCGGACCGTTTTCGAAAGCAGACAGTAGAAGCTACGATGAGCTAACCAACTCACGAATCAGCTCACCAACGGGAGATGGACAGCGATTATCGTCGTCTAATATTCTCGCTGACAGACTAGACCGTTTGGTCGCACATCTTGACATCGGGAAGATTATATAACCAACCGGGAAGGCGTATCGTTGATTTCCGGCCGGTCAAAGCGAAGTCATGCATTTTCTTTAAGCATCGGTAGTTTCAAGTGAAATTTTCGACAGTTTTTGACAGTGCGTTTAGTGTGAAGTTTTTCTTCAGGTCAATGGAAATGGAATACGAATCTGATACAGATGTGGCTGGAATTCCGGCTTATCGTTTCGCTGTTCCCGCGAGCAGTTTCAACTCATCGCTTGCGGATAATGCCGGATTCTGCTGGCCTACCGACATCTTTTATCCGGATTTACAAAAGCCAGATTCCGACGGACGTGCCTGTCTTCCATCTGGTCTGCTAAACGTCTCAAAGTGCAAAAACAGTACGATATGATTCGACTCTATGTTATATAAACAAATGGGCTTTTAGACGCGCCGATTGTCATTTCATCGCCCCATTTTTTGTATTCCGAAGACGAAGTAGTACATTCGGTGATAGGACTTAAACCTGACGTTCAGGAGCACGGCTCGTACATCGATATTGAGCCAGTAATCGTGAACATGAATTACTGGTTAGAGATGTTTATTTTAATTATTGTTTGTAGACCACCGGCGTTGGTTTGGTTTTTCAGCAGCGGCTACAAATCAACGTAGCCTTGGTCAACGACGAAGATTTTTCGTAAGTTCTGTTTCTCATCCAAGTGGATTTCAGTTTATCAGAGCTATAGTTTTAATCGGTAAACTCTATCCATGCCGTATCAAAAACGTTCTTTTTAAAAGATGGTGATAATCATTAACACAACAACACAGTGAAGTTACCTCTTCTGATTCACGTAAATCTGTCATGAATTTAAAAATGTTAGGCTATTGAGGTGACGAAAGCAGAAATTGTGCAGATTTTTTCATGTCTTTCCGAGTGCCCACTTATCTGGCTAAGAAAATTCCTGCCGCTTGAAACTTTAATTTAATATTGCGAAGCAATATCTGCATTTGCGCTGACTGTCTTAGATATTTTCGTCATACATGCAATTCTTTAATATGCTCATGCGTGCACCTTATTTATGTCCAAAAGATGGCCTATGACAGTACCGTCAATGGACTTTATTGAGTTAGTTAAATGTCGTTAAACAATTTTCAAGATTGCCTGGCAAATAGCAGCATCCGTTTTCTGCTCAAAGGGACCTTGTTTACAGAGAAACAGCTTAACATGTGCGTCATCGTTTCCTTCTGAAAGTGCTACCGTCATCCGAGTGGATCACAGCTGTACGGAAGGAAGTCCTGCAATACTTTAATACAGACAGTATCAGCTGTGATTTTTCGAAATACTAGTCTGTTCGTGACTTCATCAGCTAGATGCACATAAGTGATAAGGTCGAATTGTTGCTGTGTGTCATCGTCATCAAATGCTTGCAAAGCTTAAACAGCACAGTGACGTAGAATTACCTGAACTTTAGAAAAGCACCTCAGATTTGTACTAGGTAATGTTCATTGCTGCCACAGATGTCATGTTTCTCATTTCATCGAAGTATTTCCATGTTTTACGTTGTGCTTATAAGGTATGATGTCGAATGGTCACACTCTGAAAGATGAATCATACATAGTAGTAGTGTTAAGTCGAAACGTTAGTAATGCAATAAAGATAATGATTATACATTGTGTCAGCGCTTTTCTTGTTTTATTGTAACCATCGCACCTTCCCGCTGAAGAAGACGGGAAATCGAAATGTCTTCGAAACCAAATTTAAATGACTTATTCTTATTACTACGTCCAGATGATGAGATTACTATTTTCTTTTCATTTCAGTTATCTGCGGAAGATCTCGCCGGTGATTCTACCAGTTTTCTGGCTGAACCATAGTGCCATGCTGGATGTCGACAACTTACACTACATACATGGCCACTTAACGGTTCCTCTTCGTCTCGCCTACGCATCTGGCTGCGTGTTTGTCGTCATCGGGGTGCTTGGCTTGCTGACTATTGGAATTGTCTTGACCATCCTTTACAGACGCAACTCTTCGGTACGGCGTGATATAACTTACTATGCTGCATGCAGATTAATCAAGCATTCCTTCAATAGTAAAAGCCTTCTATGTCATCATATCATTCAAACCGTAATATTTTGGACTCCTATGCAACATATAGCTTAGCTAATTTCATGAACCAATGGAGATGTTTTAGAGTCAAAACATTTAAATCCCAAGTAAGGTTGAGATGACGGATTCATTACTATTTAAGGCCAATACCATTTTGGCGTATTAAAAGATGACAAAAATCAAGCGGTAAGTATTGAGCGCTGATAAATCTTCGAAAAAAATCAGAGCCATAAATTTTACTTAGTGCACAAGCATACGATTAATCATATACAAAGATGCAACCAGGATCTGACTGCAGTTTTCATTTTCTTTATCCTAGAAATCTAACTAGGTGATCCATCACTTATATTTACTGAATCTTAATAGTCAGTGGTTTACAAAATAGTTTCAGGGAAGAAGCTTAATCTTGATTCCTTGCCACTATGACATCAAAGAAGCCACCCTGTTCTTTTCGACCTATTCAGTATTCATCTAAAATTTTAAGCTGTAGGTTTAATTTTAACAGTATCCAATTTTCGTAGGTTTAATCAACAGCTAAAGTCAAAATTCTTGATAAAGGCAGCTAAAGATCTGAAAAAGATAATTGTATGGTTTTCATGTTTCTTAATGGATTCCTCGGCATGTAAATGTACTTACGGAAATTAAGGACGTTTCAAGCCATACTTGCTTCGTTGTAAAGGTGATAAAAAAATTTTTTGGTACAGACATGGTCAAATACGGGACTGAATTCGGATTAATGTTCATCTAGACTAGCAAATGTTTGAACGCGGACAGTTGCATCCAGCATAGCAATATCTGGATGACAGCCATTAATAGAAGACTTAACATTAATCTGTTTTCAGCATCTTGTGGTTTCCGAATTTGTCATACACAATTCGGTAAAGTCTCTATCTATGACTGTACCTTGACAACCAGTCAAGTATAACTCGATGCTTCATTAATTTGTTATCAAATCTGTGCGGAGAAATCTAACGAAAATGAAGACCGTGGAATTGATTTCCTCATAAAACAACTGTTTAATTTTCAAAAAAATTTATTACATTTTAGTCCGGCTTAGTGTAGCATCTTGCATTATGTGGTGATCGCGAATTTGCGAAACTTCGGACATGGATTTTAATTTTAATAGCTGCGGTATGTTATGTTGCTGATGGAATTGACATTTTTTATGCCTTTGCAGACTCCTGTAATCGAATTATGGAAATTTTCTACAGGAACCCTGACCTAATTAAATTTTCATTTGAGGTACTGAATCACCCAGGCTTTCGGACAGTGCAAATATGTGTTCTGTCATGGTTACTTGATAATATGCTAATCCTTGCGGTTTAGAATTTCGTTGACTCCAAATCAGCTGACAGTACTGTCGTCTGCTG